AACTCAATAAATAGCTAGTGAAATAAGTCACAGTCCTAAATGTCACCTACCTATTGCTCAGATCATGTCAATTCTTCAGTGGTAAAGTCTAGCCTGTGTAGTGATCAAAGAAAGGTGATTGGTTACAGCCACTTGGAAGGAAAGCACTCCTATTCTATTTAGGCAAGCCTGTTTCAGCGGCGAATAGTTGAAATGTACCATATAGAATAGGAATGTGTTCCTTCCAGTGTGTTTGGACAGGAAAAAAATATTTATTCAGAGCGAATCGGGAAAGGGGGGGGGGGTACGTATTCGTTTACGATGGTAGACGATGGTGGCCCTAAAGAGGGCCGTTGGGTTAGTAAATACGGGAACGTGGTGCACCTGAAAGGTCAGAAATTTAGCTTATATGTACCTCATGTAGGATGCTAGAGCTTACTCAAAAAGTTTTCTCCGTCACGTAGCGGGACATTCGACGGCAATAGGTGTTGATAGTCACCGTTCGCAAAAATCCCCTATTCTTAACCATAATGGACTTGAACCGCTTCATCTCCTTCAGCACGCGGCGCCGCCGCAGAAGGTCTTTTTTCTTGAGTTGTTTGCCATCCGTCACTCTCTGTTAAGATTGCGCTTTGATAACTTGAAATTGAGTAATTAAAGCAGCACAGACCAATTCAACGTTCGCAAGTTTGCCTTTAGCCTCGCTGACTGCACGTTGAAGGTTTACGATGAGGTGAGCCATGGGCGGATGTTTCACACCAAGAACAATGCCCAGCTGCCTGACAGTAAAACTGTTATGATTTCAAATAATGCTTGTAGTATACGGCGTACCTGTTGAATGATTCAGCGATGTTAGAAGTTCTAAGGTCCGCGACGTCCCACTTGCACCACATGCCCTTGAAAACTCCTGAGTACCATCTGGCACGGAGATATTCAAGGAACAAGAGGCACTTGTGGTACGCCGCGTGACGCTGCGTGACAGGAGGCTGAAATAAAGCCGGGACTCTCCGATGTAGTTGCGATGGGAGGAATATGAGTCCTTTAATCGTCTTCCACCACTTTTCAATGTTGCTACACCTTTGAGTACCGTGTATATATTGGCGTAGTCCGTGGGCATTTCTTTTCCGGGCCCATGCGCGCGCGAGGTGGAAGGCGCATCCTTCTACTGATGCATTCGTAAATATTTTCCTGGCTGCTAGCACAGCGGCCTTCTCGAAGTCGAGCACTATGCGTAGGTCTTGGTGCGCTGGCGGTGTCATAGCCTCTCTTATTGCGCTGAATATCCTTTCGTATATGTCCTCGGTCTTCCTTAATAAGATGTGGTAGAACTGTTGAAGGTAGAGATAAAGAATTAGCTGTCCAAGTACCTCGTCGTAATGGCGTACAGTAGCGATACATCGACGCCATTACCTGTCACGCCGTGGAGGACATATAGCTGACCCGACTTCTGGGTGGCATCCGGCTGAAGATCGTACACGCCGTCCGCCACCAGGGCTCTGAGACCAGCTGCGCACGCCCTCTGAACTGTAAATAGAAGCGAGGGCGTGAAGGTTTCGAAGAAAACTACCTCGATCACTTCAACGGAGTAGTAGATATGTAGGTCCTCCGAAATGTGATGAAGAAAGCTAGTGCCATCAGGGAACCGGGAGTACAGGTCTGGTACTTCCGCCATTGACACGCGCTTATCTCGAAGCTTCCCCACCGCTCTGGAAATGTTCAACTCTATTCTACGGTAGCAATGAGCAGCCAGATAGTTCACCTCGAGAGGGTGTTTTCTCTTGCATGGTACCCTCTGCCGTGAAAGAAGTGAAGCATCTCTCGACGTCGGTTCGGGTCTGAATTGAACGCTATGGGCAACCAGGCGTGAACTATGCATGTACCTACCGGTGCTGGAGTGGAAGTCTACATAGTTCCCGATCTCCTGGAACAATTGTATGGGTTTCTTGTCGGCCAGCGCAGGTGTATTAGACACGTACCGGCATGTCTAAACGCTTCGGATGGTGTTCTTTGTATCCAACACCTTTGATGAACGGCTTACCTTGTAGACCAAACGTGTAGTTTCATCTTTCGCGGACTTGCTCGGTAGGCAGACGTGGGGTAGCATGCACGGGTCTTCAGTGAAAAAGGTTTTGGCTTCTACCTGGAATACCACCGGAGTGCTCTCGGCATTTGCGATAGCTAACAGTAACACTGTACCACGATCGGTATTTTTTTGCCACGTTTCTTACATCCGCAACAAACATACTTATCGTTCCCATAGCTGGGGCGTGCTCTTTCGTATGCAAAAACGTAGCACAACGACCCTCCTGGG